AAACGGGAACATGTCACTGCTCCAAGGCCAAAAGGCTTGGCTGTATGTGTCGATCAGAATGAGGATGAGGGATTGTAGATTTGCTCGAATGGCTCCTCGACACAGCCCACTGCTTCCCCGATGAACACTTGCTGAGCTTTCGTCCATCATGTGGCGGACATTTTCACACCAGGACAGTATGATTCACGATAATTCACCAAAACACAAAGACAATCGAGGTGGCCGGCTAATTGTGTCAACTTAATAAAATATCCCAGCATTTGACAATGGGTTGACCTCGTTGTCGCAACTTGGTCTTGTTGTCATGGCGACTTAGTAGAACGTATCTTGTGCGAAGTCGTCTGCCATAGTAGTTGTCATGATACCCAGCATCCGGCAGTGGACTTGGTACATCATCAGTCAGTTTTGGAGACTTATTAGAACGCCTTGATGATGTCAACTACGATGCCGACGAAACGTGTGAGAATGTACCAAGTCCACTGTCTGATGCTGGTCATCATGACAACCACTATGGCAGACGACTTCGGACGAGGTGCATTCCACTAAGTCGCCTTGACAACGAGGTCAACCCATTTCCAGTACCTTAATTGCCGTGCTCCGCCTAGACTGGCTTGGTCACTGATTCAGAACAAGCGGTTCGATCCCGTTTCTAGCGACTTGATCGCGTTGCCAGGCTGACCTCGAGGTCTCCTCTCGAAGTTGTCATGACCTCGCACTTGGTGGCGTCAATACCCACTTTGGCCAGTCTTGGCGCCAGACTTTTTCTGCTACAAAATCCCATCGAGCTGCAACCAACTTCATTCGAGACCAACATGCACACTCTGAAAGTGTGTTGACTCGAGTTCTGGTTGAAGGCGTCGAGAGCAGCTCTTCGCCGATTGGTCGTCTTCGCCTCCGCTACGCAGACCCTTCAGGGCTGAAGCGCTCTGGCCGGACTCGTGGCGCCAATCGGCAATCCACTCTGAGCCGGACGTCTGTATGTGTGTGTGTGTGTGTGTGTGTGT